ACTAACCTATAATCTATTAAAAGGTGATTTTTCTATAAAAGTCTAATTTCTTTATTTTATCACCTTTGCATTTTTCTACTTATTTTTCTTTTATATGTTGCTTTCCTATCTATCTTCTGTATGCACACTTTTTCTAAGCAAAAATCACTATAATTCTGTGTTTTGTTTTCATTTTTTTGTCATTGTGCATGCTGATAGGGAAAAGCAGGAATGGATGGAAGTAAAGGTGAAAATGGTGCTGTGGTAGGTATCAAAGACAATTGCTCTATTGCCACTTTTAACGTGCATGATGAACATGTGCATGTTTTAAGTTGTATTCTCTACAAATGGAGCAGAAAAACTAAAATATTTTTATGTGTGTTCTTTTTCACAATAAACACACACACATACACATCTTTGTAAATGTTTTATAGAAATAACTGAAATGTACAGAACAAGTTAGAATTACTATATACCCAGAAATTGTTTTCACTTTGTGTAATTTGATATGTATATAGCACCTTATTCAAAACGATTCTGTGTTTTTTGTTATTTAACTTATTACCAAACTTCTACTTGAGACATATTTTACCATAGACAAGAAATTTAACTTGTCTTTCTACCTGTCAGTTATTTGTTATGTGATAAACAAATAAAAATGATTATTTATTAAATCATACATTATTTTCTATTCTATTTCTGACTATATTTTTTACATAAAATGTTAAAGAGAAAATTTAAATTATATTTGTAATTATGCATTATGTTAAATATAGTGTTAATTACATTTTATCTGAACTGTATGTATGCTAATACAATATATATGTCAGCATCGATACAAGAAGTACCACAGAAGGGAAAATGTTTCATATATTTATATTTGCTTCACAGCAATTCAATGATGCAATACTGTGACAGGTACTTTAATGACTGAATGTATAAATCACAATATTTGTGAAGGGAAGTATCCATAAATATTTAAATGTTGTAAAGTCAAAGTACATGAAAGATGGAGCCCTGAGAGTTATTTGTGAGAACAGAAAAATTTGAACAACAAAGCATTTAAGACAGGAATAGGTTCCAAAACTATCCACCCAACCCTATCTGGAGCAACACCCTTTTCTGCAATATGAGAGCTATGGTTATGAAAGAGAGCCTTTCAACCCCAAAAGTCATTGCTATGAAGCTCAGCATATATCTTGGTATTACAAAGTTTATGAACAGGACCTTGAGTTTGATATACATGTTTACAGACATAAGTTCACAAGCTTCTAGCTACACCCTAACATTAATAACTGTTTTCGTGTCAAAAATGGCCAAAGAGGAATCATAGCAATTCCATTCCACCATATACCTAGCTGTCAATTCTTTTAAAACTGCTTCAATAGAATTTTATGCCTTTAGTCTATTTAAATTTGGTCAGGGAAGCCGACATTCATGTACAATGGAGAATCTGTGGAAAATCTGTCAAGATGTTTGTCTAATATTGACCTCACTGTTCTTTGGAGAAGCTTATTACAGTAGATATTGTGGTGTCAAATAGTATTACATAATCATAGTCATCAGAATGAGCATGATTGATGATGGATGTGGTAGCTTCAAAGGTGTCAAGTCTGAAAGATCATTTTAATAAAGTATAATTTACCATAGTATGTATAATTATGTGTTTTAAGTCTTCATTAGACTTCTCTGCATTATTCATGAAAACAGATTCATATAGATCTTTGTACTCTTAAGTATGAGTACACAGGGTGTATAATAAGGCTGCTTTTTAAAAGTGATGTTCCATAATATGTTTCCATCTCAGAAATAACAAGTTTACTGGTACAGTATAATTAACCATGATGCCTTTTAATTACCAAAATTTATACAATTGAAATTCATATCTTACAAATATTTACTAAACAAGTAAAACAACTCTGAACTGAACCCCTGATCATCACTATTTGTATCAAATTGTTTTCAGTTGAATTGTATGTTTCTGAAAATAGTAATCCTGAATTATTATTCTTTGTAAAATAATGAAATGATCAAAATATTATTTAGTTATGGACAAGCGAGAAACATTTTCATTAAAAGTTCAGGCTTTCTTTTAGACTAATTTATCTTATTTTCCAAAAACTCAGATTTAATTTTTTTTGCACATGTATCAACAATTTACTTTTAAACTTAATTAATTTTTCAGTGTTATGAATTTACAAAATTATATTCCATATGCAGAACTAATCCTCAGCTCATCTAGTTTTGGTCCTGAAATGTATTTTTGTGTTTATATATATATATATACATCTCTTCTCACATCATATATAATTCTCAGAACAACTAATTTTCATAATAACACTTGATTTAGGCTTTGAACTAAACAAGATTTTTTCATCTGTTTACAGTAAATCTTATAAGCTTTTTTCTGCTGCTGTATTTTCAGTTTGTTCTTTTCAAGTATCAATGATCTTCATAAAAAATAGTAGTAAAGGAGACGCTCAAAACAAATAATGATATCTTGTCAAATGTGCTGCTTTAAACTCATTTTGAATGAAGAAAATTTTTATCTCCTGGAATTTTCTGTTTAATAATATTTAGTGTGGATATTTTAGAAACGTTGTATTTTCTTTAATTAATTATAAAATGTGGCAGAACTCATATTTTGTTGTTCTTTCAACATTAAATTCTACAAAAACTAGGTAAGTTTGAGTAGGTTTTTAAAATATTCCAAAATGTTTCTGTGAATTATTTGATACCAATTTGTGCCTATAGTTTTGTTGTTATATCACATCAGGTACTTAAAGGTTAGAAGAGGTAAAAAGCTTATAAAGGTGGCTCATTTGAATTATAAAAAAATTCTGTGCCTTCAAAAGTGCAGGTATTCCTCAACAGTCAGCAACCTTAACAGAAAATTGAAATGCTCATGTGAAACAGTTAGGTGTGAGTCAGAATTTGCCAGAAATTATATATAAGGTGTTGTAGGCACTTATAAAATTAATGGCATACATTGTATTTGTTAGTCAATGTAAAAACGATTTGTGAGAACTTATTTTTAATTAAAACATTTCTGTGTTTTCATAGACTATCACTATCATACTGGTTAATAAATATCAGATAGGGCCATCTGAGGAGCACTAATAAATTTCTTATGCTGTTGAATTTGATCATTGTGAGATGATTACAACATTATTCAGTCCTTTTCATTTGATACATGAGATTGCATGTGCTTGCAAATTTAAATACACATGCTATTTATCACATGAAAGGCCATATTCAGTCACATGTCACATTACAATTTTGAATACTTCTGAAGAAAGAAGAAATGTAATAATATCTACGAAAATACATTAACAGCATAGTAGTAGATCTTTATCTCCTTGTGATTGTTCGTGAAGCAAACAGAAACCATGGCAACCAAAGGTAATAAAATCGAATTCAAAACGTTTCAAGGCTATGGAAAATCAGAGATTATCAAATAAAAAGCTTTAGAAGGAGGAGAACATATGTAAACTTCATCTGATCTAAAGTCTGCCAGTATAATGCAAATATTTGTGACATTAAAGAGTAAATATTTTCTTGATATTTCCCTGTCATAATGCATCACTGCACTACTTTAACCACCTGTGTGATTTATGCACACAAATTCATTTGCTCATGTGAATCATTGAACATGTAGTTTTTCTTGCAAAAAAGCCTGATTACTTATAAGTGTAAGATGTTACTCTTACATTATACAATAAGGTTATAACATCAGTTACATATATTTAAAAACTCTTTGGACCTTATAATAAAACTATTATCATTAATCTGTATTTTACAACTTCCCGTAGAGTACATGTAATAGAGGTGTAAGCTGTATGGGAAAAAGACATGTTTAATTAGCAGTATTTTAATTTATAAATAATTTTATTACATTATTTAATTGTTGTTATAGTTTTAAATGAAAATGTTTTACCAAAAAATTAATAATTTGCCTTCTTATTTTTTTAACAGTCTCCTGTAAGGTACATCCACCAGGTAGGGAATGATATTTATTAAAGTGTTTGTAAAATTCTCAGTTTAAATATGACTAGGAATGTTTATTATTGTTTCAGTAGCAGCTAAAATTACTGTATATATATATTTTTAGCTGTAATTTTTCTTAAAACTTGTTTGAAAAGAAGGAATCTTTTGGATTTATTTATAGAAGTAAATGTTCAAAGGATGATATTAATATTAACATTGATCCCTTCATAAAAAGTTTAGACATAAGCGCATACAGAGTATTTTTTAAAATTTCAATTTTGTAATTATTTAACATTCCTTAAGTTGAAAAATCATATGTTGTAATAAAAACATCCTTTGTTTTTTCATAGGCAACTTTATATTTACATTAAGAGCTATGGTTAAAAATTTTTATTAATTATTGCAAAAGTACTCAAACAACATAATTAAAATTCCTCTTAAGAACCTTAGGGTGGCCATGAAGCTGGAATAGTTGGGGAAAATTGAAAAATCATCACAAAACTTGAAAAAGGCCAAGGAAAATTGTACCCCACCCTGCTGTTTATCAGAGTGTTTACACATGCATACAAAATCATGCTATTTAGCTTTGCCAGTTATTTAGTATATTTTAATATAATCTTGGTTAGTTGCTCTGTTATTCTGTCTGGCAGTAAATACATAATTAAATATACTCAATGACTGGTTATATAAAGTATTCTTTTATCAATTAAATTACAACATTATATGTGTGCTATCAAGTTTCATTGTCCTTATTTGAAGATCCTTTTTTATAGCACTATAATCTGAAGTATGTTCTAATGTCTATATTGTTCTTCATAACCTTATTTTAAGCTGAAGTATTTTATGTTAGGTAGGATTATGAGGGAAGGTTGAAATATTAATGTATCATGTGTGCAGGTCTAGAAAACCTAGAATTTCACTCAAAAAGTTGGATAAACTTTTTTTTTCAGTAGAATATGTCCACCCTAAAACTAAATCTTGTGAACTCTTTTTTACATACTGGATGAGAGTGTGAAAAAATGTTGCACAGTTTACCCATGCTGGATAAGAGTGTGAAGATTTGTTGCACAGTTTACAGAACAACTGTTGGTGTTACAAGGATCATTATCTACATGCATTTGAAAATATTTTAATTTGTTGTATGCAGTATAACCTAGTCTTCGGTTCTGTACAGTACATTTCAAATATAATACAATTTGATTTAAATATGATCAGAATATATGTTGACTTTTGTTGTTTATTAAGGCAACCACTTTTTTGTGTACATTTATATGGATGCTTTGTATATGTAAATCTCAGAATATTTGTCAGGTATAACATTCTGAATTGAGTAGAACTCATTTCTTTATTTATATGAATTATTGCTCGTTTTTGTACACCATAAAAACTGATACACATTATCACATATTGACCACCACAGTACTATATCTTTATATAAATATCAAGCGTTAGATTTTAAGATTGCAAATATGTCAAATACAGTTGTTGAGGTTCATGGATTTAATATAACTTGAGAGAATTTATTTGCACCATAATTATTATTGTTCTTGAAGATATTGCTTACATTTTCAGCCACGTAATTACTTTTATATTCTGTGTTTTGTTTTTTTGTCAGAATAATGGTAGCATTGAAAGCACAAAGGAATTTGTAAGTATTACATGCAATCTTAGTCAAAATGTTTTACTATGTAAAATGATATTTCTATAATTGTGTTTTATTTTTAAAAATTAAGTTCAAGTAAATTAAAGATAGATAGTAGTACAGTTACCATAAAAATGAATATGCTCAGGACTATTGAGAAAGAAGAAGAAAGCCAACTTAAGTTTTTATATTTTACATTGTGTACCACATGGTAATTCTTTCATAGGGGTAATGGTCTTAATTTTTTTCTCAAAGCAATAAATGCTATCTTGACTGCATCTTATTCATTAATATATTTTATTTGTTTTCTTTGTCATTAAGGAAAATTGTCTCTTTTTTTTTTACTAGCCAGTTTTATAGGTATTACTGTAGTTTCTATTATATGTGTATGCATCTCTGTAAGTTATTTATAAGCAAAAAAATAGTAATTAAAAGATTGTTGGAAATATTTAGAGACAATTGTCAGTTTCTTTCTATTTTATTGAATATATATATATATATACACACACACAACTTATAGAGTTTAGTTCTTTAGTGTTGA